AAGAATGGCAGTGCATTGGATGGTGGCTTGTTAATTGTGGCTTCTGGCATGATTTTTGTGTGTGTGTGCGACTGGAGACATAATTTGGATTGTGCAAAGGACTGTAGGCAGCAACAGAAATGATTTGATATAAATAATTAGGAAATAGAATCCCGAAACTTATTTTAAATGTATTTATCCCATATTTTGATTCCTTGATAGAAGTTGAGGCAGAGGATTGCTAGCAAACTTTCCCAAAACATAAACAAGTATATCTAACAAGATCCCCCTCACCCCCCCCCGCCCAAAAAAAAGCTTTGCAGAAATTGGTGGGTTCATAAGAATTTATTTTGTTGCTTTATTTATTTATTTATTTATTGAGGAGGAGGAGGATGCACAGTATTCTAATTTGAACACCCTTGTGTTTTCCATTTCAGTTCTGTAGCCGTAAATCTTTCCTGGTTCCTGTGGAGATCTAAGTATTTTGTGAGGGAAGAGGGCTGAATGGCGTTAGGAGGTTTGGCCAGACCTCTTGTGATTAGTCAGACCTGGGGAGATGCATGGGTCCATTTTGGTGCTGGATTAGAGACCAGAGAGAAGATGGAGGGACAACAGCCAGCAGATGCAGGAGCTGGAAAAGGCCCTCCAGCTGCTCAGCCTTGGAGCTATGGAAAGAATGGGGCAAGTCCTGGGCAGAAGGGCCAAGAGGAAGAAGCCAGCAGTTCAGAGGTCCAAAGTTGTGACTTTAGCAAAGTGCAGTTCCAGGGGGGGAAGAGTCCCCGAGATGTTTGCACTCAGCTTCACCACCTTTGCTGTCAATGGCTGCAGCCAGAAAGACACACCAAGGCTCAGATGCTGGACTTGGTGCTCCTGGAGCAGTTCCTGGCTGTCCTTCCCCCAGAGATGGAGAAATGGGTGAGGGAGTGTGGAGCGGAGACCAGTTCCCAGGCGGTGGCCCTGGCCGAAGGCTTCCTCCTGACCCAGGAGTCTGAGAAGATGCAAGAAGAGTTGCAGGTATGAGAATGTAATCATGGCAGTTCTAAAGAGAATCTTTCTGAATTTGTCAATGTCTCTCTGGCAGAATCTTCTGGGATTATGAGCTGCTAAGATCTCTTCTATGCTTGATAATTCATTTCTATCTCTCTACTCTTCCTTCCTTTCTCGTGCCACATCTTGTCCACAAGTCTTTGCAAGCTATCACCGAGTATCCCCAGGGGTGGAAAGATTCATCGAAATCCTCTCAAGAGCTGCTATTCAGGGAGATCTCCCAGGAAGGTCAAAGTCAGGACATTGCACCAGGTAACAGCAGCTCTTTCCATGGGATATGAAGATATCCATCCATCTGATAGTTTTGTTTTGTTCATCTTGAGTGGAATCCCCCCCCACTCTTTTTTAACAGTCTGCTTCTACCATTTTCTGTCTTACAGAGAATAGAAAGCTGTCCTTAGTATTTTTAGAACGACCTTCTCTTTGTGATAGAGCTGAAAGAGTGGCTGAACCTCTGCCTCAGGTAAGAGGAGAAATATTGGAAAGGTCTACGAAACTTGGAATGGTTTCATTTTATTCTGTATAATTATCAATGTACGTATAATATTGCTGTTTCCAAGCAAGACAGATTTTAGACAAGATCATTGAAAATTCACACTTGGCATAACCTATCAGTCTCTTCTGATAAGCTTTCTCCACCCGCCTGGTCCAGGCTCAAATTTCATTGACCAGATGTTGTCTTGACTGGAGATCTTCCTCTTGTCTCCCAGGGTCGTTCTCACTACCATTACAAGCTCTGTCAACACTTCAAACATAGATGGATATCCCCTGTATTTCCTTCTGCCCACTCTGCACCCAAGAATTGGTGCCAATATAAGTAGCGGATTTAATACCCGCTACTATCAACCAACAGAATTATTTTAATTGGTTTCACTGAAAGGCATCACAATCCTCCCAGTGTGAGGAAATGTGGTTCAGTTGGGCCATCAGCCATGGTGTGATCCCCTTCTGAATTCTGCAGAGGATGCCCATTTTGTTCATAGGATTTCTCTGCTTGGAATTGGTGAAAGAAAACTCTCACATTATTCTTGGGATTTTCTGATAATAGGGAAACTTGTTTCCTTGTTCAGGGTGGTGTGTCTTTTGAGGAAGTGGCCGTGCATTTCTCCGAGGAGGAGTGGTCTCAACTGGATCCTGCCCAAAAAGCTCTCCATGGGGAAGTCATGCTGGAGAATTCCAGAAATCTGGCCTCTCTGGGTAAGAACCTCTGTGCTCAGAAATGTAGAGAAGGCATGGGTGGGTGGAGGGTTTAGATACTCCTGATAAAAAAGATCACTTTTTATTTATATCCTGCCTTTATTATTTTTTGCAAATAACTCAAGGCAGTGGACACAACCAGTACGCCTTCCTCTTCCCATTTCCCCCCAACAACAGCACTATGATATGGGTTGGGCTGAGAGAGACTGGCCCAAAATCACCCAGTCAGTATTCATGCTTAAGGCAGAAGTAGTACAGGTAGTCTTCGAGTTATGAGCACAATTGAGCCCAAAATGAATGTTGCTAAGCGAGACATTTGTTAAGAGATTTTTGTCCCGTTTTACCACTGTTCTTTCTTTCCACTATTCATAAGTGAATCACTGCAATTATTTTAGTAACACGATTGTTAAGTGAATCTGGCTTCTCCATTGACATTGCTTGTCAGAAGGTCATAAAAAGGGATCACACTGCAACCGTCATGAATATGAATCAGTTGTCAAGCATCTGAATATAAATCACATGACCGCAGGGATGCCCCAATGGTCATAAGTGTGAAAAATGGTCCTGTCACTTTTTTCAGTCCCATTGTAACTTTGAACAGTCACTGCTGTAAGTTGAAGACTACCTGTACTCACAGTCTCCCAGTTTCTAGTCTGGTGCCTTAACCATTGTACCAAACTGACCGAGATGTGCCCACTTATGTTCTGGGGATGGGGAGGCATTGCCATCCAGAAAGTTAGATGTTATTTCTGATTTTAAAAAATCACTTTTTATTTATCCCGTGGACACAGCTAGTACTGCTTCCTCTTCCTATTTCCCCCCACCCTCCCACCAAAGAACACTGTGGCATGATTTGGGCTGAAAAGAGATTGGCCCAAAGTCTCCCAACCAGCATTCATGCTTAAGATGGAACTAGATCTCAGAATCTCTCAGTTTCTAGCTTGGTGCCTTAACCATAGTACCAAATTGACTGAGATGTGCCCACTTTTGTCCTGAGTTTGGCATCATTCTAAGCTGAGGGTGGGAAGCTATTGCCATCCAAAGATTCTGCTCTGTAGATAGATGGAGACTTTTCATTGAAGTTGGTGAGCTGGTGGATATGTTGCTGTCCCAGCATTATACGGTGTCCAAAGCCCTTTGGAATTCCTGGCTCCATGGAATTGTCCCGGGTCGCCAAGCGGCTCACACCCACTGGTGCTCAAAGATTAGATCAGGCATTTGTCTTAGTTTTGTTGGGATGCCATCCAATTCTGATAGATGAGAATTAGTGGGAGCCCACTTGGAAATCTGTCTTTGGAGAAACCATGGTTTGGA